GCCTCCCAAAGTGCTGTGATTACAGGTGTGAGCCACTGCGCCTGGTCTTACTTTTTTTTTTTTTTAAGAAAAAAAATCACTCACTAAATTTTTAGGTAAGGAGCATGTGCACATAATAATCCCAGTAATAAAATGTTGCAGTATTAACTTTTTATTTAAAAAGACACTAGTGATTAGGCCAGGTGCAGTGGCTCACGCCTGTAATCTCAGCACTTTGGGAGGCCAAGGGAGGCAGATTACTTGAGGTCTGGAGTTCGAGACCAGCCTGGCCAACATGGTGAAACCTTGTCTCTACTGAAAATACAAAAATTAGCTGGGTGTGGTAGCACACTCCTGTAATCCTGGCTACTCAGGAGGCTGAAGCACGAGAATCACGTGATCCTGGGAGGTGGAGGTTGCAGTGAGCCGAGATCACGCCACTGCACTCCAGCCTGGGCAACAGAGCAAGACTCCATCTCAAAAATAATAATAATAAATAAATAAAAAGACAGTAGTGAGAAAGTTACTTTTTTTTTTTTTTGAGACAGAGTCTCGCTCTGTCACCCTGGCTGGCATGCAGTGGCACAATCTCGGCTCACTACAATCTCCGCCTCCCAGATTCAAACGATTCTCATGCTTCAGCCTCCCAAGTAGCTCGATTACAGCCATGCGCCACCATGCCTGGCTAATTTTGTATTTTTAGTAGAGATGGGGTTTCTCCATGTTGGTCAGGCTGGTCTTGAACTCCTGACCTCAGATGATCTGGCCGCCTCGGCCTCCCAAAGTGCCAGGATTACAGGCGTGAGCCACTGCACCCAGCCGGACTCTACTAAACTTTAATAAAGTTTAAATTTGCATTCCAATGCCATTTAAAAAGTCAAACTAGGGAGATGTGGTAGCTCACATCTATAATCCTAGCACTTTTGGAAGGTGGAGGCGGGAGGATCACTTGAGCTCAGGAGTTCAAGACCAGCCCGGGCAACACAGTGAGACCTTCTCTCTATTTAGGGGGGGAAAAAAGTCAAATTAAATGACTTCCTTCAACATTTACAAAGATATATTGGGTAAATATGCCAAAGGGTCATCTCTTATTTTGACATGGAATCTATATAACATAAATTACCCAACCCTACAACCCACCCCTTTTTGGGAAGGACATTGTTAATAAACAAAATGGTCAAATAAAGTGAAAAACACAAAATGAAAGAATTTACCACTGAGAGACCCTCACTAAAGTATTTGGCTACTAAAAAAAGTGCTTTAAGAAGAAGCAAATTGAGCCAGGCATAGTGGCTCATGCTTGTAATTCCAGCAATTTGGGAGGCTGAGGCCGGCAAATTACCTGAGGTCAGGAGTTCGAGACCAACCTGGGCAACATGATGAAACCCCGTCTCTACTAAAAATACAAAAATTAGCTGAGCGTGGTGGCAACACCTGCAATCCCAGCTACTGGGGAAGGTGAGGCACAAGAATCACTTGAACTAGGGCCAGGCACGGTGGCTCATGCCTGCAATCCCAGCACTCTGGGAGGCCAAGGCAGGTGGATCATGAGCTGTCTCTTATACACATCTAGATGTGTATAAGAGACAGGCTGAGATTACAGGTGTGCAGCACCACACCCGGCTAATTCTTATATTTTTAGTAGAGATGGGGTTTCACCATGTTGGCCAGGCTGGTCTTGAACTCGACCTCAGGTGATCCACCCACCTTGGCCTACCGAAGTGCTGGAATTACAGGCGTGAGCCTCCACGCCCGGCCCATCACTGCTTTTTAAGTTCTCTACAGACACTGTGTGCCTTACTGACTGCACCCAGGTAGACTGCTCTCACTGCCCTATCTTTGGTGCCATTAGATAGTATAAGGTTTGTGGAAAAGGAGGAGGGGTTGGGATCCAAAGCATAGGTAGAAGGACTGTCCTTGGCCCGGAGGGACAGATAATCTTTTTAACCAGAAGGAAGGAAGTAATCATGGAAGGGCACAGATGTGGGAGTGTGGCATCAGGAAGTTGAAGGAGTTGTCATCATATGCCTTCTATTTCCCCTGTGAGGTCACCTGCAAGGCCATCCCTACTGGGGGAGGGATATGCCACACTCCCTTGGCCTACTGCAATTAAACAACTGATTCATCAAATCCATGCTCACTAAGCAAATGATTTGGTTCCCCTTATAGGCTTGCTCATGGGGCAAGTATGTGCTGACCATACAGATTTCTCATAATAGGCCACGTGTGATGGCTCACATCTATAACCCCAATACTCTGGGAGGCTGAGGTGGCAGTGTACTGCTTGAGCTCAGGAGTTCAAGACCAGCCTGGGCAATAAAGTGAGACCCCAACTCTACACACACCTGTAGTTCCAGCTACTCAGGAGGCTGAGGCAGGAGGATCACTTGAACCCGACAGATTGAGGCTCTAGTGAACCATGATCGCACCACTGCACTTCAGCCTGGGTGACAGAGCAAGACTCTGTCTAAAATAAAAATTTCTCATAGTAAATTCATAAATTGATTTTTGAACATGATTTAGTTTCTGCGTAGCCTGACTATGGATAACAAATTGTGGTCCTTTTTACAGTTATACCTCTTGCTGAGCTATTGCTTTTACACCAAGTGACTCAAGTAAATCTCCGGGCCTTCAGAGGCATGGGCCAGATCCACAATAAGCAGCAACTCAGGCTAACCTCCCCAACCCCTAGGTCATGCCTTGCTCAGCAAAAGCTGGCTTTTCATTCGCTGTCGCTGGCCCAACTTCCATCTCTTCTCTCTCAATTCATTTCTACATACACCTATTCATTGAGATATCTTAAATTAGCTGTTAGTGTATTGACCTACTAGTTTCTCTATGAAGGTATTTCCAAGAACAATACAGGAAATAAAACAAGCACGTCAGTGAAATATATGGGTATACCACCATTATTTATTTATTTATTTATTCCACTGTTCATTCAACAATATTTACAGACCATAAACCCTGTGCAAAGCTTACTATGAGAACTGCGGGAGATACAAAGTCCTCATGGTATTTATAATTCAGCAAAAAAAAAAAAAAAAGCCATTCGTTCCACAAAGAACAGGCTTGCAGAAACACACTCTGGTTGAAGCGGGGAGAAAATCAGAAATAAACACAAAACACTCTATAGTAAAAGTGATTAAAGGAGAAATAGGCTACCAAAGGAAATCCCGCAATCTGAGTAACTTTAAATATATGACGATTTTTTTTTTTTTTTTTTTTTTTTTTTTTTGAGACAGAGTCTCGCTCTGTCACCCAGGTTGGAGTGCAGTGGCGCGATCTATAGCTTACTGCAAGCTCTGCCTCCCGGGTTCACTCCATTCTCCTGCCTGAGCCTCCCAAGTAGCTGGGACTTGTACCTGCCACCGCGCCAGGCTAATTTTTTGTATTTTTAGTAGAGACAACGTTTCACCGTGGTCTCGATCTCCTGACTTCATGATCCGCCCACCGCGGCCTCCCAAAGTGCTGGGATTACAGGCGTTGAGCCACAGCACCCGGCCAAAAAAATATGACGATTGTTTAGAGACAGCCTTGCTTAAAGGCAAAGGTTATAGCAACCCCTTTGGAATTAAGCATGAAATTAACTCAGGACTTTCTGATATATAAACAATGTGCTAGTCTCTCTATAGAAGCAGTGGGTCTGGCTTTGAATTAGTCTATAAGTTCATTTAGGGTTGTGCCCCCTAATCCTCATGTATTGCCATTCGATACTGGATCTGTCCTTCCTTCCTCCCTCTTGCTCTTCTTCATCACAGTTTGTGCACCATCATAAATATGATGTGGTGTTTCCATGGCTTGGAATTTTCTGCCACGGAATCATCTCAGTTATGCGTAGTCTTTCACACACTACCACCCAAGTTCTGTGTAAATTATTTGATGACCTCAGGTATTTTTAAAAGCGCCTAGCACACAGCAGATGCTCAATTAAGATTCATTTCCTCCTTTCTTTCCTTCCGTTTTTTTCCTCTCCCCTGGTGAGGAAGGGAGGGAAAAACAGGAACAAAAAAAATGATAGAGGTCTTGTAAGACAGCATCTTTTTGGTGTAAAAATACTGAAAAAGTTGAAACCATTTTTTATTGCCTACCTTGTGTCTGCGGGCTGTAAGGAGATAGGAGTTTGGACCTTTTCTTTTCATAGCCCTTCTGGGTGATGTCCCCTAAAATAGCAAGAAACAGAAATAGGTTATGCATTATTCTTACTCTGTGGTTTTCCACCGTAAAAATAAAATTAATTACAGAGTTATAGAACTACCCCATATAGAGGCAGGGGGTTGGGGTGGGGAGATGTATGGTTCTTTGCCAAGGATTTTGCTATGTATGATTTCCCAAAGGCTTGGAGCTGACTCCCTGTAGAATACTATAGAGCTTGTCCCAAAACCAATCTTGCATAGCAATATGCTGTATACCATGACAGAGATCCCCAAGTTCCCAGGCATCCCCAGCTTCCTTGGTATTTAAGATATCCCAAAATGGAATGCAGCAAGGCTGACAATGATTTCTCTCTGGAGTTTCACTTTATCAAATGAGTACAACTGGTTTCTGAGGTATTCACTTACATTGCTATACAGAACCACATAAAAGTAAGAGAAGACAAAGTTCAGGCTCTGGATGGTATAATTAAAAGGGCTTTCTGCACCCTAACACCTGTGCTGGAACCTGGGACTAGAATTCTCACACCCTCTCCCCTTAGTTTAATGCTTTGTCTTATTTATTCATGTGGCTCTCTTTTCCACAAGGTTAAATTTAAAAGTATGTATGATGCACACACAAATTAGTGCATATACCAACAAATGCAATAAGGATAAACTGATAAATACAGGAGAAAATCTGTAGTTGAAGTGGCAAGAAATGGACTTGATACTAAGGAAACGGGAATAGATGGATGAGTAGAGAGCAGGGTTAAAAGGAACAGGAAATGCAGAGAAACAAGAGGAAGTTAAGGGAGAATGAGTGATTTAAAGCTGAGGGATGAAAGATATGTGGGGAGGTGACATGACAGAGCACTGCTTTCTGAAAAAGAACGTTTTAAAATAATAGATAACTTTATTTACCGTGAAGCCTTACACAGAACCTAATATATAAAACAGGAAAAAAAGTCAAATTGTGGCATAAAAAGTACTTTAAACATTCAAAATTTTAATATTCACTTATGAGGGGGAAAAAGCATGTTTGATGGATACAAATTAGCAATCAAGGGTGACAAATGTCAGGTGCTGTTGGCCTCAGCCTCCAATGCTGCAGTGGATGGTGGAGAGGAAGCAGGGATCACTGAAAAGGGCTAGAGCAGAACACTGCACTGCAGCAAGTTCACCCTTGCTAGGAGAATGTGTTGTCAGGAACCAAGACTAAAAACCAGAAGGAGTAGATGTTGCTCCAGTGCTACCACAGAGATCTGGGTAAGAGTAAGTAGTAACTTGAATTAAAGATAGTGGTAGAAGGGATGAACGAAGTGAATGAATTAAGAGGAAGACCACAGGATTTGCTGACTGGTTGAAAGTAGGAGCTGGGTGCAATGGCTCATGCCTGTAATCCTAGCACTTCAGTAGGTCAAGGCGGGTGGATCAGACAAGGTCAGGAGTTCAAGACCAACCTGGCCAACACAGTGAAATCCTGTCTCTACTAAAAATACAAAAAATTAGCTCGGTGTGGTGGTGCATGTCTGTAATCCCAGCTACTCAGGAGACTGAGGCAGAAGAATTGCTTGAACCCGGGAGGTGGAGGTTGCAGTGAGCCGCGATCGCGCCACTGCACTCCAGCCTGGGTGACAGAGCAAGACTGTCTCAGGAAAAAAGAAAGAAAGTAGGGTGGAGCTGGTTTCTTGTTTGAGGTGTGTGTTTGGTGAGGTCGAAGAAAAGAGTTAAGCTTAGGACAGGCCTGTGGGACACACAAGAAGAGACAGCTAATCAACAGTTGGTTTTATGGATCTAGAACTCAGGAAAGAGAGATTTGGAATCATTGGGATACAGTTGAAAAATAAAATGATACAATCCTCTTAATTTGCAAGTTTCTATCAAAATTGATTCAGCAGCTGTACTCCTAAGAATTTATTCAATGATAATATTCACACACGTGCTGTGCTCTATTGTTTACAGTAAAAAAACAAACTGGCAGCAATCTACATGCTTATATTATAGACCATCTATATCAGTGGCTTTCAACTAGGAGAGTTTTGTCCCCCAGGAGACATGTGACAATGTTGGGAAACATTTTTGTCACCATGGTAGAAGAGGTGCTACTGGCATCTAGGGGATAGAGGCGAGGGATGCTGCTAACATCCTGCAATGTCCTACAACAAAGATTTATCCAGACCAAATGCCAATAGTGCTGAGAATGAAAAACCCTAATCTATGTAATAATGTGCAAGTAATCCAAATATATTGCCACGGGAGATGTAATACATTATGTGTAAAAGGCAAGCTGCAGAACAGTAGGTATAACATAATATGATTCTGTAAAAAATTAAAATTTTGTTTAAAAAAAGTAAGAGCTGTGTTTGCATATATACAGAAAATAATTTGGAAGGCTATATACTAAATTGTTTATCCTTGGGTGATTTTCACGGGGGGGGTGTGTGTGTGTGTGTGTGCGTGTGTGTAGATACATATATTTTGGAGGCAGGGTCTCCCTCTATCACCCAGGCCGGAGGGAGTGTAGTGTTGTGATCATAGCTCACGGCAAACCTCAAATTCCTGGACTCAAGGGACCTTCACCTCAGCCTCCCAAGTGGCTGGGACTATAGCCATGTGCCACCATGCCTGGCTAGTTTTTGAATTTTTTCTCAAGACAGAATCTCGCTTTGTTGTCCAGGCTGGTCTTGAACTCCTGGGTTCAAGCAATCCTCTCACCTTGGCCTCCCAAAGTGCTAGAATTACAGGTATGAGCCACACTTGGCCTGTTTTATATACTTTAGTAGAGTTCAATTTTTTAAAAAATAAACCTGATTTATATGAACTCAAAAGTACACATTTTTCTAAGAATGAATGGTCCATAGGCGTATATTTGCTAACAAGATGGTTTACGCAGTACATTCAATTTTAAGAATAATATTTTTGATAGGTCATCGGATGGGGGAAAAAAAAAGAAAAGAAAAATAGCTGGGTGCGGTGGCTCACGCCTGTAATCCCAGCACTTTGGGAGGCCGAGGCAGGCAGATCACCTGAGGTCAGGAGTTCAAGACCAGCCTGGCCAACATGGTGAAACCCCGCCTCTGCTAAAAATACAAAAATTAGCTGGGAGTGGTGGCACGTGCCTGTAGTCTCAGCTACTTGGGAGGCTGAGGCAGGAGAATAGCTTGAACTCAGGAAGCAGAGGTTACTGCGGTGAGCCGAGATCACGCCATTATACTCCAGCCTAGGCAACAAGAGTGAAACTCTGTCTCCAAAAAAAAAAAAAACAAAAAAAAAGGATTAATGTGTTTGCACACATGTAAAAATTTTTTTCTATGTACGCACTAGAAAAATGTGCATGTTTACACACCAAAATATTAACAGTGGTTAGTTATGGCTTGCAAGATTATGAAGTGGTTTTATAGTTTCTTTTCCTTCTTTCCTTTTTGCTCTTATTTCTAATTTTTCTACAATGAACATTATTTCAAGAAACAATAAATATTTTAAAACTTCAATCATGACTACTTACTACACTATACAAATTTAATCGCAATGGTCCTTCATCTGTTTCCCTAGTGAAATACAGAAACTGTGAATTTTTGTTAAAAAAAAATTAATTAAACCTTTTCAAATTAGCCAACTCAAGACTTTGGGGAATTTCAAACAGTACATACAGCTAACAGGGGTACAGAAGCCTACCAAGGAAACCGTCATTAGAAACAGGAAACCATGTCTTTTATTGTAAAAGAAATACTAGAGCATTCTCCTGTTCCATTCCCCACTCACAAGATCCCCTACCTCCACCCCCTACCCTGGCACAAAGGCCACTTCTGATGGCTCAGAACACATCTGGCAAAGTGACAAAGTGAAAGGCCTTTAAAAAGCTTTCTTCAGTGCTTAAGTCTCAGTCAGGCACTGTCAGTAAATGATCGTGGGACAATCTGTTAGATTTGGTATCCTGGACGTTAATCAACTACTAACCACCTCAGGTTTTGAAAGAGGTCAATCAAGAGAGTCTGGTTCAGCTAATTAGCTCCATCAGATCCACAAACGAGCAAAGAAGTTAAGGAGACCTGGAAGAAGCTGAGCTGCAGTGAGAATGTGAGGACTACGACGCTAGGCCAACAGTAACTTTAAAATGCCCTCCCCCTTTTCTGACTACAAGACCCTGCTCAAAAGTCACCCCTCTGTGGTGCCTTCCACTACTTCCTCCTAGTGCGCCTACAAATCTGCATACATGTCTGTGATAGCACTTAGCACACCACTGGTATTTTAATTATGTGTTTACACCCCATGTCTCCCTGCTAGACTGTGCACTTGAGGGCAGGGATTGTGTCTTGTTCATCGCTGTAGCCCGCCCACAGCCTGGCACAATAGACGCTTGTTGAACGAGTGACTGAATGAATTAATAAAATGGAGGCAGTGAGAGAACAATAAATCAAAAAGACATGTGTACTTGGGTGGAAAACTAGAAATGGGAGAAAAAGAGATCTTTAGCAAGAGCTGAAAGGCTCAGGGAATGGAATTTAGTGGACCAGAAGTTTACTAAAACTTGACAGCTAGACCTTAAAGGTGAACAAAAAAGCAATGCTTGGACTGCCTGAAGAGAGGAAGAGTATATAAATCACAAGGCACTAAAAGCTAGAGAACTCCAAGCCAGATATAGATACATCCCTTAGCTAGAGGGCAAGACCAGACAGAAAGAATTCAGTGAGAATCTGTTATTTCACATTTCTGTGGTTGCCACCTATAGTCCGTGCTCTTAAATCATCCTCACCACCTGTACTTACACAGATTTTGCTGCACTACAGCAATGTTTTCCAACCTTGTCCAATGTTTAAGATTCTCCCAAGGAACTTGCAAAAATACAAATTCCCAGACCCCTCCCATGGAGACTCTGATGCACTAAGTCTGAATTAAGATCCAGAAATCTCTACTTCTAACAAGCATCTTCCAATGAGTCCTAAAGCCAGGCAAGTTTGGAAATTGCTGCAGTGAGGAATCCTGTCCGGGGTATGCTGGATGGTTCTGCAGACTGAATGTGAG